CAACATCTGTCGTTTCCTGACTTGTTAATTTTAGCCATTCTGACTGGTGTGAGGTGGTATCTCATTGAGGTTTTGATTTGGATTTCCCTGATGCCGAGTGATATTGAGCACCTTTTCATGTGTCTGTTGGCCATTTGGATGTCTTCTTTGCAGAAATGTCTGTCCATGTCTTCTGCCCATTTCTTGATTGGATTATTTTTCTTTGGGTGTTGAGTAGGTAAGTTCTTTATAGATTTTGGATAGTAGCCCTTTATCTGATATGTCATTTGCAAATATCTTCTCCCATTCTGTCGGTTGTCTTTTGGTTTTGTTGACCGCAGAAACAGCTTTCTAACTGAACCTTCTCTACTCCCAGATTCTGTAGCAAAATAAATGATTGTTATTGTATTTTTAAACCACTTTACTGAGATATAATTGACATACAATAAGCTGTATATATTTCATGTATACAACTTGGTGAGTTTGGAAATAAGTATACATCTGTGAAACCATCACTACAATCTATGCCATAAACCTATCCATCACCTCCAAAAGTTTCCTCCTCCCATTATAATAATAATAATAATTATTTTGCAACCATTCTATCTGCAATAATAATAATAATAATTATTATTATTATTATGTGATAAGAATCCTGAATATAAGGTCTACCTCCTTAAATTTTTAAGCATACAATACACTGTTATTAGCTATAGGTTCTGTTGCTGCATGGTAAGGCTCTGATACTTATCCATCTTACATTACTGAAACTTTGTACCCTTGGCCTAACACCTCCCTGATTCCCCTACCCCCAGCCCCTGGCAACCACCATTCTACTCTGCTTCTGAGTTTGACTATTTTAGAATCCTCGTGTAAGTGGTATCCCGCAGTATTTCTCCTTCTGTGTCTGCCTTAATTCTCTTAGCATAATGTCCTCAAGGTTCATCCATGTTGTCACATATGGAAGGATTTCCTTCTTTTTTTAAGGCAGACTAACATTCTGTTATATATATACATATATATATACATCACATATTTTTCATTCATCTGTGAATAGATGTTTAGGTCTTTCATGTCTTAGCTATTGAGAATAATGCTCCAATGAACATGGGATCATTTCAAGATCCTGATTTCAAACCCTTTGGATATATACCCAAAGGTGAGATTGCTGGATCATAAGGTAGTTCTGTTTTTAATTTTTTGAGGAACTTCCATATGTTTTCCATGGTAGCTATACCAATTCCCACCAAAAGTGTGCAAGGGTTTTCTTTTCTCCACAGCCTTGCCAATGTTTATTCTTTTTTTGTAACAGTCATCCTAACTAGTGTGAGGTGATATATTATTGATTTTCATTTTCCTGATGACGAGTGATATTGAGCACCTTTTCACACTAGCCATTTGTATGTCTTCCTTGGAGAAATGTCTATTCCGTTCCTTTGCCCGCTTTTTTTTTTTTTTTTACATTTGATAAAGTGACTTGTTTTTAAATTTTATTTTATTATGTTAGTCCATTTTTTAATTGGGTTATTTGGTTTTGTGCTACTGAGTTGTAAGAGTTCCCTATATATTTTGGATATTAACCTTTTATCAGGCATGTAGTTTGCAAATATTTTCTCCTGTTCCATAGGTTACCTTTTCATTTTGTTGATTGTTTCCTTTGCTGTGCATAAACTTTTTCGTTTGATGTAGGCTCACTTATCTGTTTTGGCTTTTGTTGCCTGTGGTTTTGGGGTCATATCCAAAAAATCCTTGCCAAGTCCAATATAAAGAAGCTTTTCCCCTATGTATTTTTCTAGAAGTTTTATAGTTAAAGTTCTTATGTTTAAGTCTTTAATCATTTTGAGTTAATTTTTGTGTATGGTGTAAGATAAGGCACCAATTTCATTCTTTTGCATACGGATATCCAGTTTTTCTAATACAATTTATTGAAGACTGTCCTTTCCCCATTGTGTAGCTTGGCACTTTTATCAAAGGTCAGTTGACCATATATATATGGGTTTACTTCTCGGCTCTCTATTCTCTTCCATTAATCTATATGTGTGTTTTTATGACAGTACCATACTGTTTTGATTACTATATTTTTGTAATGTATTTTGAAATCAGGAAGTACGATGTCTCCAACTTTGTTCTTGCTCGAAATTGTTTTGGCTGTTCAGGGTCTTCTGTGGTTCCATCCTAATTTTAGGGTTGTTTTTTCTATTTCTGTTATAAAAAATGTCACTGGGATTTTGATAAGATTGCATTGAATTTGTAGATCACTTTGGGTATTATGGGCATTGTAACAATACTAATGTTTCCAATCCATGAACATGGGATGTCTTTCCATTTCATTTTCTCTAATTTCTTTCTTTTTTTCTTTGGATACAAAATATTTGGTCATATATTCATAATTTACTTGACATTTCCAGCACAGTGAAGATTCAATAGCAAAAGAAACTTCTTAAAAGAGAAGAGAAAGATACAGAGCTCTGGAGTTTCTGTTGGAACAGGACCCTTCTGTTTGGTTATATACATTTAAGTTCATTTAGTGTCTGATCCAGTGTCTGATGTAAGCCCACATTCTCTTCTTTGGCCTGGGCAAGTTTTTCTTTCAGGTCATCAATTGTCCTTTCCAGTTTTGCAACCGTTCTGTCTGCAAATTCAGCACAGGTCTCAGCCTCTTTCAGTTTGTCAGACAAAACTTTGATTTGTTCTTCATATTTATCCTCCTTTTCAGAATACTTTTTAGATGCAGTCTCGAGTGACTTCAGATTGTTAGTGACATTCTTGAGCTCTTGCAGGTCATCACATTTTAGTTCAGACCCCTCAGCACGCTCTTCCTCCCTCTCCAGCTCGCCCTCCAGGATGACCAATTTACGAGCCACCTCCTCATATTTGTGGTCAGCCTCCTCAGCTGTGAGCTTGGCCTCTTTGAGCTGCATCTCCTGAATCTCCATCTTCTCACCTTTCATGGCCCGGTTTTCTATCACCTTCATTCCTCTCTCACTCTCATCGGCAGCCTTTTCTGCCTCCTGCAGCTTCTGCAGGGTTGTGGCCAGTCATTCCTGAGCCCTGTCCAGTGCCTCCTCAACAAGCTGGATGCGTAGATTGAGAGCTGCCACATCCCCTTCGGCTTTCTCGCGCTGCTCATGCTCGCTGTCCAGCTCCTGCTGCAGGCCCTGCCCGCAGTCCTCTGCCTCGTCCGCCTGTTGCTACGAGGCCTGGATCTTGTTTCACCGCCTCCAGGGAGTTGAGGCCAGCCATGGCATGGAGGCACGGAGGTGTGGAGGTGCACTCCACAGGCAGCGGGCAGTGGCGGGCATTGGGCTCGGCTAGGCTCAGGCGAAAGCTGCACCAGCCGCGCCCCGGCCTAATTTTCTCTAATTTCTTTCATCATTGTTGTACAGTTCTTAGTACACAAGTCTTTCAACTCCTTGGTTAAGTTCATTCAAAGTATTTTATTCTTTTTGATGCTCTTGTAAATGGGCTTGTTTTCTTAATTTCCTTTTCAGATATTCCTGTTGGTATAGAAATGCAAATGATTTTGTGTGTTAATTTTGTATCCTGCAACCTTATTGAATTCATTTATTGGTACTAACAGGTGTGTGTGTGTGTATCTGTGTGCATACATGTAGTCTTTAGAGTTTTCTACATATAAAAGCATGTCATCTGAAGAGGTAATTTTACTTCTTTCTTTCTGATTTTAATGCCTTTTATTTCTTTTTCTTGCCTAATTGCTCTGGTTAGGACTCCAGTACTATGTTGAATAGAAGTGATGAGAGCAAACATTCTTGCCTTGTTCCAGATCTTAGAAGAAATGCTTTCAGTTTTCCACCATTGGGTATGATGTTAGCTGTGGGCTTTTTATATATGTCCACAGGCTGCTGGGTGCTGCGGGTGGGCTTGTTCTCTCTTTGTCCCATAGGAAAACCCATGACTCAAGGGGATCTCTCTCAGAACTGCACTGTGCCAAGTTGGGGGATTAAAGTGACTTTTCTTCTTACCCTTTTCAGTGTGTCTTTTCTCATTTCATGCTCCACTGGAGTGCTGTAATATCTCACCTGGATTCTGAAGCTCTCATAAGGGTAGTTTCATCAATGGATGGTTGCTAAATTGGTGTTTCTGTGGGAGGGCAAGGGCTGAGACTGCATATTCCACCTGCTGACATCCTGCTGATGTCACTCCTGATTGTTATTGTCTTGAAGCCACTGTTTGGAGTGGTTTGCCCTGCTGCAATAGATAACTGAAACAGGTTTGGGTTCCCAGTGAGATAGGTGCTGTAATTAACCAAGTACATGTCCCTAACAACAGCACAAACTGCCTCTCCATTTAATCCCATAAAATGAAACTAATAAAATCAGACTGATGATATGCCAGATTTCCAAGTCACAACAGCCTATTAATGATGCCTGCGTGTTTCAAAATGTCTGCTAATAATTCATTGTTTCGCTCATTCTGCTTTAGCTTAAGCAAGAGGTAGCTCTAGGTTGCAGCACTTCCAGCTTTTTCAAAGTACACATACAAACGGGCTAAGTGAAGCCTTGAAAGACCTCTAATGTCCACAGCAAAACAAAGATGAAGACAGATGAGGATCCATTCTTCAGCCACTATACTTTGACTAGTGGTGAGGAGAGTCTGAAAAACAAAAGTGCTATCAGTCAATCTGTAGTATTGCAGGTTGGGAAGATAGCTACACCACAGGGCCTTCTCTAAAACACATGCTTGGGAAAAGAAGCATGCCTGAGAAGTAGATTCTCTAGATCAGGGGTCAGCAAACTAGAGCCTATGAGTCAAATCCCACTGGCCACCTGTTTTTATAAAGAAAGCTTTAGAACATAGCCAACCTATTCATTTGTGTATTGCCTATGGCTGCTTTCAAGCTAAAACAGAAGGATTGAGGAGTTGTGAGAGACTGTACTGACCACAAAGCCAAAAATATCTACTTATCTTGCCCTTTACAGAAAACATTTGCCTAATTCTGCTCTCAATAAGTGACATTTAGCTCTTTTTTCTTTATTTTTTTAAAGATTTTATGTATTTCTTTGAGAGAGAGGGAGAGCGAGCATGAACGAGGTGGAGGGGCAGAGGGGGAGGGAGAAACAGGCTCCCCGCTGAGCAGAGAGCCCGATGCGGGGCTCGATCCCAGGGCCTGGAGATCATGACCTGAGCCGAAGGCAGATTCTTAACCGACTGAACCACCCAGGTGCCCCAATTAGCTCTTTTTTATGTTCTAAATGTCTCTCAGATCATTCACACTTTCCTTCATTATTGTTTTTAAATTGTTAATCATGAGATATTTCAAACATACATAAAATTAGACTAAATAGTAAATAACTCATTCACATACCTGCCACTGAGATTAAGCAGATGTTAACATTTAGCCAGATTTGTTTCATCTTGACTTAAAAAATGAAAAAAAAAATACAAATACAGCTAAAGAACCCCTTCCCTTCCTCCTCCCCCCATCCCCAGAGGCTGTCATCATCTTGAAATTGGTGTGCTTCCTTCCTATTAATATTTTTGTAGTTACTACAAACTTATACAATTGGCTACAGGCTTGAATAATTTTTACATAAGTACTATCATCATATTGTATGTATCTTTTGGTAACATATTTCTGCTCAGCATTATCTTTCTGAGATTTATAGATACTGATACATGTTTATCTAGTTCATCCATTTTAATTGTATTATAGCATTTCATTTTATGAATTAACCACAGTTTATATAACCCAGTTGTGTAACAATCTAATGAGGGACAATTTGGTTGTTTCCAATTTTTCTTTTAACAGGGCTGTAATAAACAACTTTGTATACATCTTCTTGCACACAAGCATATGAATTTCTCTAGGGCATGTTCCTAGGAGTCCAATAGCTGGTCAGAGAGCATGAGTGTGATTACTTATCTTCTGTTCACCCTTCCAGATACCACTCTTCACCCTTTCCATTCCTGCTCTGGATGCCAGGGAGCTGAATTATGTGGACTGATCAGCAGGCTCCCTTGCCTTCTGCTCCCCACTGTGTTTGGCCAATGAAGGGAACCAACCGGAAAGGTGGAGAGGGGGAGGAAAGTGGGACCAGGGTATTTATTCCCCCAGACCCCTCTCCGTGGGATTGCAGCAGGCTGGCTGGGTCCCTCCGGTAAAGGTCACAGGTGACTTCTCACAGCCATCTGTCCCAGGTTCCAGGGACTGCTCCTTCAGCTTTCCCCTGCAGGCCTGAGGGTGGTACGGTCCACTAACCCTAGCTCCTGGGGACTGCACTATTCCTTGTGCCTTTCCTGTACCTTGGCCATATGTTTCTAAATCATCCCATTATTAAATGCGCCTCAAATTATCAAATCTGAGTGTGTCACCTGTCTCCTACCAGCACACTGGCCGGTACAATACGCATCTTCAACTGTACAGAGTCTGTAAATTGGTCCCCAAAGTGGCTGTAATAATCTGCACTCCCACAGATTCGTGTATGAGTCCCTATTTCCCCACATTCTCTCCAAAACTTGATGGGATTTGCTTAATGACTTTTGCCAGTGAGACTGAGCACGAGCATCTTTCTCTGTTTATTGGGTTTTTTTGGGTTTTTTTCTCCTGTCAGATGCCTGCTCCTGTTCTTTTCCTGATTTTTTTTGGCTTTTTCTTTTTCTTACTGATTGAAATGAGTCCTTTATATATACTGAATGCTATTTCTTGTTGGACTGAGAAAAAAATCCTCTCCCAATCTAGGTTTTGTCATTGCATTTAACTTACGGTGTGGCTTTCAGTTTTCAGGTGATCAGCATCGTCAATCTTTTTCTGGCTTTGCTTTTCATAATTTACTTAAATTCTTTCCTAACCCACTGCCATAAACATATTCTCTTATATCTTCTTCCAAAAGTCTTCTAGTTTTGCTTTTCTGTTTAGATGTTTAGCCTGTCTGGGATATATTTTTGTATTTGGTGAAAGGTGGGAATATAATTTTATTTTTCCATATAAATAACTAGTGTATTGGATAGTCCCTCTTACCTTCACCAATTTATAATGCCACATCGGCAGTATTTCAAGACTCCATGTGCACATGGGGCTGTTTCCCCTGTTTTGTTCCATTGGTCTATTTGTCTGTCCCTCACCCAGGACCACACAGTTTTTATAAAACATCTGGCTGTCTGGCAAAGTATCCCACCACCTCCCCCAAATCTGCTTCTTCCAAGACTTTCTCAGGTCTTTGTGCATTTGGGGTTCTGATACTGTAAACCAGATCATGACAATTTTCTTCTGGCTCTGACTTTCTAATAATTTTAATGATAAATGAAAATAATATGTTAAAAATATATATAATAAATGGTGTATAAATAATTATAGAATAATTTTTTGCGCTAAGAAAATCATATGACTTGTCTTTTCATTCGTTAACAAGGTGTAATACACCAACATATTTTCTAAAGTTGAACTGTCTTTGAATTCTAGAGATAAGCCTTATTAGGTTGAATTATTTTTCTTAATACAGCTGGTTTACCTAGGATTTTTGCATCTATGTTAATAAGAGGGATAACTGTATGATCTATTTCTTGTGTTATGCTTGTCCAATTTTTTGTGAAATAGCTCACAAGTGATAGCTTTCTCTCGTTTTGTATTATCTGTCTTAGTTTTAACCTTCCCATAAAAAACCCTATGCCTGGTAGCCTTTGAATTATATTATCAATTATCATTCTAGTTCATTTAATAGTTACAGGTCTAGTCAAGTTTTCTGAATCTTGTGGAGTCATTTTTAGTCCAATACATTTTTCTAAGCTGCTGTCTGTTCCATCCACATTTGCAAGCGCGTGACGTGGAGGAGCAGCTCCACTATGACAGCCGGATGACCTTGCACCTTTCCCCACAGGCCACAGAGGCGAGGCTTCTCCATGGTCTGACTGCATTTTACAGAACACCCTGTCATCCTCCTGAGGACATGGGGAGATAGGCGGCCATGTGGGGAGCTGTCGCAAGCCTCTTTACCATGCACTTCGTCTACCTCACAGAACACTCCCTATTTCATGACAGGTTGCCATGAGACAACAAAATTTTGCTAAGTGAATGAAACTCAGACCTTCCGTCTCCAAATCCAGCAAGCTTCCCTCAGTCCCACACTTCCTCCTTGTCATCACAGAAAGGACTAGAGCCCATCTGGACCGGCCCCACCCCCAAGTGCTCCTGAATCCACGGTCCTCTCCCCAGGTCAGGGTCTAGTGAGGCTTTTGCCCTGGGTAGTAGGGACTATGGCCATATCCACTGCTGTGTCCCTCTCTAG